ATAATTGCTGTTAATAGTGTTCATCATCTGTTTGATTACGTCTTTAATTGATTTTTCCGTACATTTCTGCCATATGTACATAAACTGACAGTCACCATTGATAATCTACTACTAAATATTGTAGAAACTTAATTTTCTGTAAAGTAAAAAAAATATACGCTTTTTGATATACCATTTAAAAAAAAAACAGGTTGCCCATCTGAATTAGGACATTTAGGCTATCCATCTAATAGTAGCCTACCAAAATCTTATTAACAGTAGAAGTTAAATCTTACTGTAGTCTTCAACTCTGGGTACTGTCTTACGTTTTAAAATCACAAAGGGAGTTTGGTGCCATCAGGCTAACGTGACAGTCACGACTCATGCAGCTGTAAGGTTTTTTTTTCTTTTGTTTTTACTGGCGATCTTTCCAACACGCATTACATTACGTATTTCATGGCACACTCGTTTTATGCGTATTTGGCGCCACCTAGTGTTGTGGGTGTATTATTGACATGTCAAAGTCTAGACCCTGAATATAAGACGACCGCGTTTTTTCAGATGTATTTCCAAGAAAAAAACATCGTCTTATATTCGGGTCAATACGGTATTTAGGGCCTTAATTTTGTCTAAATTGATTTATCAACTTTTAATACTTTTTAAGACCCCGCGGACATCCTGTATAAACATGATTATAAGTTGATCCCTTATCATTTGAAATGTAACTTAAAGCTTAAAGAGTTAGGAATAAGTACGTAAAATTATTTATTTGCCAAATGGCAGTAATTTTCTTTAAATCTACGTCAGTTGCGGTTGCTTCCGGGCGAACGGATTCTCCGCAGCTCTCTCGTCTCCGCTTTGTTGCTATGAGTCGTCAGGATTGTAGCGCGTTCTCAGTGATTTGCTGGTCTGCGGCTGATTTAATGCACAAGGTAAGCTGTCAGCGAAGCACTCGCCCAGCGGGAAAATGTGTTGTTGCTGTCAGATCTCGATTGCCGAGAATCACATTGCGTTTGATGCAAAACCAACTCGACTAAATCAAAAGGGAAAAAAAAAAAACACTGTATTGTTTTCTCAAACAAAGCAAATTTTAAAGTCCATTGAAAACATCTTCTTACATTTTTGGTCATAGACAACGTATGTTGAAGATATACGTTATTGTCAACGTTATTGCCTAAGCGGTAAATAAAAAAAAAAGTTTGTAAAAATGTGGGCTATATAAAATTTTAATAACAAATATCATATTGTTCCCTTTGTTTTGCGTATGCTTGTGTCACTTACAGTTAAAGTCCTTCTCTGATTTTATTATTGTTTGCAAGGTTGCAACGTTACTTTGCAATATTTT